GACGGTGTTCTTCTCGCGTCACGACAGAGGGCGTATTGACACTAATAACACGCCTGACCAGGCAGCCCAGTGTTGACCGAGCGGGGAGCCGACCCGCCTCCGCCCGGCCGCCACACGGCGCAAACAAGCGGAGCTAGAACGAGCTGGCAGGAGCGCCCAGCTCCTCATCACGTTCGGCAAGGTAAGGCACACGGTCGCTTCCTGCCTGGATATCATGATGATAGTGCGACAACCATGGTTTCGTCTCATTTTTGAATATCCAGGCTGTGCATGAGCCGGACAGGACCTCGCTCTCGTAAACGGATATGGCTTAAACTGCTCTCATTGAAGTGGTCAGTATACAGACATATATATATATATATATATATATATATATATATATATATATATATGTGTGTGTGTGTGTGTGTGTGTGTGTGTCTGTATAGACAGTCATGCGCTGCAGACCCCGACACAGCTGGAATCTATCCGCACCTCAGAAAGAAATGCCGCGACCCCTGACACAGCTGTACACATGTGAACTTCGTTAACTGTACACATCCGCACCCCGCTCGGTGGACATGTCATTGCTGCCGATCCGGGCGAGACGTCGTCTCTGCATTCGACGCACCCGCAGAAGCTCACGCACGCTGAATGATGCCGGCAACTTTGACCGACGCCGAACAGTCCCTTCCTCCCCTCCGTCGCCGTCGTCGCTGTCGTCTCAGGAATCACAGGCTGCGTAGGGCAGTCCCCTTGCTCTCTGCCGTCGCCGTCGTCGCTGTCGTCTCAGGAACCACAGGCTGCGTCGCGCAGTCCCCTTGCTTCCCTTCGTTGCGTCGTCGCTGTCGTCTCAGGAATCACAGGCTGCGTCGGGCAGTCCCCTTGCTCCCCTCCGTCGCCGTCGTCGCTGTCGTCTCAGGAACCGCAGGCTGCGCCGAACAGTCCCCTTGCTCCCATCCGTCGCCGTCGTCGTTGTCGTCTCAGGGATCACAGGCTGCGTACGGCATTCCCCTTGCTCCCTTCCGCCGCCGTCGTTACAGTCTTCCCGGGAATCACAGCCTACGGAGGTCGGTCTGGCTCAGGCAGCGACACACCAAGTGACCTGCGGAGAGGAGCGGTATTGCGGTGAGTGGAGAGCGATGCTCGAACTGCTATGGGGAGGGGGATCTTTTGTCGATGGTGTGTGCGTGGTTGAATTGAGGTGCACAAAGCGTTTGCTGCGAGGGCTTCCGGACAACAACCTGGCCGCAATAATTCTTTCACGTCAAATATTTAGCGAAGTCAAAAAATCGTCAGCCACGAGCATAGATTGTATACTTAAAAGTGCATAACAATGATAACTAAAACAAAACATAAACAAAACATGTGTCACCACGATCAAAGAAAAAAACTGCTAAAAGCACACGCCAGATCCCTGCTGTCATTGGGCAGCTCAAGAAGAACGCTTCCTTGAACACTTAATTAAGGCGATATGGCTTGGGGTTGGGGTTGTTTGAGGGTTGTGGCCAACCCCGCTCTGGGAGGAGCAGCGACCTGCGCTCTGGTAGCAGGGCCAGCACCGCTGCTCATCGGCAGGTTCAGCCACCCGCAGAGGCCTTGCCGAGGATCCGTTTAGAACAGATAATGGGCTCGGTTAAATGTACATCTTAGCAGCAATCACAGGCAAAGATAAGAATGCCAACCAAGCAACACCAGACCAACACGTGTAAGTAATCTTTGATGGAACAAAGGGAATCACCGTACTGGAATATACTAACACCCTTCTCTCACAAGTATGTGCATCGTGCCAATAAAGACTAAGGCATCGCACAGCCCTTGGAGTACTGGACCAAGCACCAAGAGCACCACGTCATCAATGGCTGTGATCAGTGGCATCCCAAATCCGGTCACGGCGCTGAGGCCTTGCATGTATATGTTTGACCGTACTATCTCAGGGCACATGCACGGAACGGTGACGAAACAAGAGACGCTGGAATGTACTTATGAGAACACACACCCTGTGTGTCAGCAAGCGCGTGAACGCAAAATGTGATGAACGTGATCTCGAAACGTTTGTGTCGTGATCTACGAAAGGTAGCGCCTCCATGTTCGCCATTGCACGTGTTAAAACCGTGACAGCTAAGGTACTGCAGCATTAAGCACATTCGCTGCGTTGCCCTGGCCGGCTAGCCTCGGGGTCCCCGTCGTTAGCGCCTAGCTCAGCGGCCAGTTCCCAACTGAGAGCCGTCGGCTTCACTGTCCGCGGCTGAAACCAGAGACACTCCAACCATTTGGCAATATGCTGGCGTTAAAAAACGAGGCGCACGTCGTGCCTTCGGTCCAGTCCGCAACACGAACAGCCATCCACACAGGATCGAGCCCATTACTGAGGTCGTTCAGTCCATTCCGTCAAAAGCAACCTCTGAAAACCGATATCTCAGCGCGCGCCACACGATCATTTGTTTCTCAGATGGCCCTGCGCCACGTTGGAAAATCTATACGTCCTGGGGATTTATCGTTGACCTCACCCATTACGCCAAGTCTCCATCATTGACCGGTTCAAGACCCGACAGCCGAATAGAAATTTTGTGTCCAGAACAAACTGGTTTCTGGATGCCAAGTGATCACGAGGATAGAGGTTTCGTAAGCCGGAAAGAGCACGGTCAGAGGCCGCAACAAGCGAAGACCGAGGAATAGGGACAGAGGCACAGATACAGAAAATATAGTGGTGAAGTCGGGTGCAGACGGAATGAGACCGAGGCTAAGCAGACAGGCGGTGACGTAGAACAATACAGAGTAGAGAAACATGCCGAGATGCAGGGGCATAGGGACAAAGCGGCACTAAGACACAGGCGCAGAGACACAGGCGAGGCAGAGGCAGATCATGTATTGCGATACATTTCAAGTTGTTATCGGGTGTTTAACACGGGCCCGACTTTGCGGAATGTGTCGACATGCTTATCATAGGGAGGACGTTATCTTCGACTTCCGACGACACGTTTCACTGTCTCAACATTGCAATATGCATTAGCTGTTCAGCTACGTGTGTATTTGTAAAGCCTGAGTTCCTGAGCCTGTTTGCCGCTCAAACAGCAATGTCGCGTCGAGGGGTGCATGCGCGCTGAATAACGCGGACAGTGAACCACGGGCATCGCGAAATAGTCCTGTCCAGACAGCGAGGGGCTGAGGGTACGGGCACATCACTGTCGCAAAGAAAACGGAAGGTCAAATAGCGAACGCATAGCCGAAGGTGATCAAGCAGCTCCTTGTCTTGGTCCAGCCGCAATGAGTTTGTTTAAGACGTGGCTAGCGATCCCACGCCGTTAAATTATTTAGTACCGGGTACTGGGCCAGCAGTCATGATTTCGTTTCAAGAGAAATTTGTACGTGTTAGATACGATATTTTATATCGCTGAAAGAGATACAACATTTAAAATCGCTGGAAACAATGTTTATTTTGATGGGGGCGTAATTTAAAGGCGTGCGGATCATCAGATGCTGTTGCAGACAAACGTGAGCCGAGGAATAGCTGTTATATTTCACAATGCTCGCTTTATGTCCATGCAAATTACGTCAGCATGCGTTTCTTCACGATTTCAGGCACGCATGCTACAAACAATACCTCTGAGCATGCGAATGCCACACAAAAACAAAGAGAGGACTAAGAGCGTTTTGATGTTTTCCAGACAACTAGTCGGCCTTCCAAATACCACAAGGCGACCGTTAGCTGACGGATTAACTGGCATACTTTGTGGCGATGAGCACTGCTAGAAGCGTCGCGCATTTGCATAATACACCAGTGATTACCTGACCTCTTTTCACTATCATCTTTTGGTAAGCTGCGAGCTAGTTATATTCAGTTTAGGAACTCACGGTGCAGGCAAAAGCAATAATAGGATCGAGACTTTTCTCAGCTATATCGAGGAACCAACTAATGATTGCTGGCGGTCGATGCCACGGAGCCATCATAACGCATCCGCCCACGCGGACGTCGACGACCAACATTGAGATCGTTGCAGTCGTTCGAACATGCTCGCCATTACCGCGTTAAATAGCCATGAATATGACGAATACGGACTCACGCCACGCCACAGCCTACAATGCCGGGTTTTCTCTCTCCGCCGTATACGCCCAATCGGACCATTCGCGGCGCCGTGAGCGCCATAACGGCATCCCCGGCCGCTCGAAAGGCGGGCGCCGGAGAAGCAAACTCAGAGATCAGCTGCAGCGTTCAGTTGCAGCACTCAGCCTAATCAAAACCCACCGGTGGCACGCTCGCGAAGAATCTCCCGGACGCCGCACGTCATCGCCGCGGCGACCTTGACCGGTCAGAACGCGCTCTCGTCGACGCCGCGGCCAATCAGCGGCGAGAGCGTGTCCGGCGGCCGTCCGGCCTGGAGGCGTGCCGGCGGCGCCTGCGGCCGGCGCCGGTCCAGGGTGACGCACCCCTGGCGAGCCGGCTGCCGGCACGTGCCGCGCTGCGGCGTCGGCAGCGTCGCTGAGTAGCACGCCACAGTCTGGAGGTAAACGTTAGTCGGGTGATGCCGGCAACGAGATGACTTGTGGAAAAGGGGGTTTCCGACTGGATTCAGACAACGCTCTTTTCAGTGGAGTGATAACATTTCTTTTTCCCAGCAACCAGAATTTCATCAATTATGCACCTGGATGCGATCAGTTATCATCTAAGCATTACTACACATTGGTATATTAAATACTTAGCAACTCTGCACAAGACTTGCCAGTCCTAAGGCAAGTTAATAGAAAAGATGCTACGTTTTGGCGTTCCATGGACGTGAGCCCTACGAACAGCGTGTTTGACTCATTCTGGTCCGGAAAATTGTGGGACACTTGCATTGGAACCAACGAGAGTAGCGCATGAAGCTCACTGATTGGCCGAACAAATGACAAGGACTTGAGCGTTGTTTTGTTTGTTGGAAATATGCGAATATATCCGGCAATCACCATCAAAACACTCAGGCATGGTAAGACAAAATGCGGCACGCTTAAGGTGCAAAAAAATACCGGGCGCAAGCCTTCCGTTAACAGTTGGAATGCCGATACAGTCCACGCACTACATAGCGCTGTTCCGAGCACAAGCATACACACACGAACGTGTACATCGGCACTCTCTTGCGAGCGGGCGATGCGTCAGGGCGGACCTCAGCCGGGGTCCACCGGGCCCACGGCCGGAGGATACTGACCGCGGCGCCGGGAGCGCCGGGCGCGGCGCTGTGGAAGGTGCGCAGCGTCATGTGGCCAGCCGGTCGGGGTCCGGCTCCTGCCGCCGCCGGCTCCCGCGCCCGGGCTGGCAGCGCAGGGATGTCGCGTGGGATCCGGTACACCCGGTACGCCGGCCCTGGAACAGCGGCGCCCCCGGTCACCGGCGGCCAGACGACGCTCGGTCGGCGCGCCGGCGCGTCAGGTGGGGTGGATCCGGCCGCCGAGCCGCGGGCGCGCCCACGCCGCTCACGAGCGCACGCTCCGCCGGCGGTGGCGGATGACAAAGGATCACGTGGCACCGGCATTAGCATAGAAAGCGTCCAGTTCGCTGTTGGCCGATGTCAGCCGGCGCGGAAAGGCGGTTTTGAATTGCACCGCTACGCCCGCAGTGAATAGTGACTGAACCAAACAGAGCACTTCGGCGGCAGAAAGGCCACCGCTCTGTGACGACTCGTCTTGATACCGCAAGGCGAGGGTTGCCTGGCGCTCGCCCATTTTGCTGACTGCGAGCCGTATTGGCTTCATTGTTGAAACTACAGTGAAAAGGGTGCGCGTACATTCTCTACGCCACGTATGTTCTCTATGCTATTATCATTTTTTTTATAAAAGCTGATTGGTAGGAAAATGATGTTATTACGCCCTCTAGTCCTGAAGTTAATGCGGTGTTTTCAACTTAACTCTTGCTTATGACCCCGAGGGCTCATTGAAAAATTACATCCACTACTTGAATTCCTATCCTCGATCATTAAATGTGCTTCGCCCCTAAAAATATCATATTAACACGAGTATCAATCGTAAAAGAAAGTCTTTAGTCAGAAGACTTTTGATACAACCTCACGCAAGATATTTTTAAAACATGTCTTTATTAGACCTTGGTTAGCAGGGAACTGCACAGCTGTTTCGCTTCTATCTTGGACGAATCAGCTCGTCGGACAGAGACGCCACCGCATAGTTGTCGGCACAGCACCAGGGGTAATTAAGATCACGTATGCTATATTTTCAAGTTGTCAAGGGACAATAATGACGGTGCAAGGCTCTTGAATTATCTGTATATGCCTACCAGATATACTCATAGCAAGGTGGGTGTGACCACGTTTTGAATGATACTGCAATCCGCTTTTCGGTTTAGTGTTATTTTACATGATCCATCCGCTCAAACATTTCTGGGAAATGGCTTCGTACGCCAAAACGTTCCTGAGGTCCAGAGTCCACCCACCTCAGTGGTGGTTACGCTTACGCATGATAGCTGTAGGGACTATGCACTTCCTAACTTATCATCACGCAATATTCAATATTTGGGGCACTGTTATGCTTGCGGGCACGGTTACCACCTTCACGTGAGAATATGGGTACCAGGAACACCGCGAAAATGCCACCAGTTTGCCTGTCAATTTTCAAATCAAACTTACACTATCGGGAATAGTGTACAAATTTAAAACACCTGTCATCATCGCTTTCAGAAGAAATGGAACAAGGCACAAGTATCACGGGCGAACTGTTTGGCCTTTCGCCCTCGCCTGGCCCACCCACTTTTCAAGGTGGGGACCAGCAATGTTAACTGGCTCCTTCACTTTATCATATTCAATTTGTGTTTAGCTTACTTCTGTACCATCTTTATGGGAGTATTCACATTCATATGCGGTTTTGAACTGAAGTAACCACTTTGAAGACCTTTCAGTGCTGTTTACAATCCTGCCTTTCTTAAGACCCAAGCCCCTGTAGTTTCTGAGCTACACGCCCGCGAAAATGGGGAAAGATATATCGGGGAGAATATTTCATGGCCACCTTGGCATTCATGACGTCATACAACGTCATTAAATCCTGCTTTTCCATAACCCATGCGGCGATCAAAACCGAGAAACGTATACCTGTCGAGGCGTTCATATCTGGCGTTTGTGACCGCGATTTCCAGACGTAACGGCCGTCAATTGGCTCTCGATCAATGCTGTGCAAGGTACGATGACGTAATCCAACCGCGACACACTAGGGAGTATACTTACTGAAAACGCTGTCTGTCTAGAGCGGCCTTTTCCATTTAAAATTAGTAGCAATAGTTATAAGTGAGCTGGTTTCATTACATCTCATGCCTGATTTACTATCGTCAAATGTGAAACGTTCCGTTTAAACAGACATGCCAATTTGCCTGGTTCACCAGCCATCTTCCTCAAACCGCACTGGACACGATTATCTCATGTGATAAATGGCATCATCCCTTTTTGTCATGTACGGCGAACATAGAAATGTACGGGCAAACCTACGCTCCTCTAGTACTAAAGGCTCTGTCGGTCTTTTTATATAGCTCTGGTTCTTCCGTATGGCTGCTTACAGTCCCCTCAGCATATGTTCTGGGGTTCAATATGGTATGACGTATGCCTCTAAGGACCTCCGGATCGACCAGGCGACCCCACCCGCATGCCGTCAGATGGCAGCCGGAATGGACCCCGCGCTGGGAAGGAATGACCCTCCAGCCCTGGACCGGTAATGATACGGCGCCCCCTAATGTTCTATACTCACGGGCCCCTTCCCGGAAAACGTAAGGAGTCTCAGAAGTGTTGAATGGAGTGGATCGAAATGGGGTCAAAAGTAAAAAGGCCAACCAATGTACTCATGAGAACGTACATTCATTTGCAGAATCGACTGTGAAACAAAATACATAAAACAGCTTCACCTCCTGCACACTAGCAATCTCAGCAGCAAAAGCAGCGATGGCCGGGTAGCAGTCTTCGTAAAACCGAACGGCCTTGGCCGCTGCAGGTAACGCCTGGCGGCGGCGCCGTGCGTGCGAGAACGACAGTGGGGAATAATTCTGATGAAAGTCCTTCATGATACGTTAGAACCATTTCAAGATTACACTGTTTTTTTCAATCCTGAGAACGTCCTCCGGTCAAACCAACACTTAAAGTGACACGAAAAATACAGATTCTACCTTTAATCTTCCACCTCCACCACGGGATTCCAGCACCATTTCGCGGTGCTGTTACGGGTAATGCGTCCTCCTTATCAATGTAAAAATGACAAAGATGAAAGATATGCTCGAATTGCTTTATTAAGGTGCGAATTGAGGTCCAAAGAGTTCAAAAGTCCCAAAAGGAGGCGAAAGAGAGTGAATTGTACATTCGATTCGGTGACACTCACTGCGCACAAGAGACATTACACACTCACTTAAACGCTGCGCTATCTAATAAATCATTGATGGAATCTCCGTTAGTGTGCCGACACAATAAAACTTGTAAAAAGTGACATACATCCCCCAAAATTGTTTTTAATGTTTATGTAACTGCGTGCTTCTGTAAGATGCACGGTAACAACCAAAACCATCGTTCGTATTATTTTCAGCATGTGTAAAAAAGAGTTCTGGTAGCATATGACATTTTAGCATTGGTTTCAAAAATGACGTAACTGATTCATTTTCCGGAATGAATGAGCAGGCACCACAGGAATCTACCATAGAAGAATCACACGCTTGAATCATAATTTTAACGTAACGATTAACCTAGCAGAAAATAATGACCGCAGCTGCTGTTGTTTCGCCAGTTGGTGCATCCTAGAACGGATGTACCCATAAACTATCATAATGAGATGAGACGGCCGTTTTATCTATTCAGTGGACCTACGGCTAGACGGGCGTCATCCTGCGCATAACAAATGAGTATCGCTGACACTGCCGAATGGCACGTATAATATGTTTCACGTTACCTGAAGTCTGGACTTCTTAGATAATGTGCTCATGTCTTTAGGTTACTGAAACCGGAAGCGATGTTGTTGCTTCAATGCGCTGGTATTTGTAAATCATGGCCGAGTTTATTGTGGTGTTATCAGTAATATTGTGAGCCTTGTTTGCTCTGATCTTTATGCAAAATGACATTCTCAAGATTGCATTCGCTTAGCCAAATATCGACATTTGTTCGCGTTTCGGCCATTTATCATGAAGTTCTTCTATATGTATCCGTCAGTTTTGTTGCATTCATATACTCGGCTACGACGACTTCTTAAACGGAATGTTCCATATTCAAATATCTTAAAGCAAGCATTGAATATGACGAAAAAGCTCACCTATAACTATTGGTACGCCTTTAAGCAGAAAAGACTGCTCTAGGCAACACAATTCATCTTTTTAGTATATATGCTCCTCAATGCGTCATTGTTTGAATACGTCATGGTACCTTGCACAACATTGATTGAGAGTCAATTGGCGGACGCTCTACCTTGAAATCGTGCTCGCGAACGCCAGATATGAACGACTTAACAATTATATTTGCGTCGGTCTTGGTCGCCGCATGACTACTGGAATGACAGGATTTAAATGACATAATTATGACGTCATGGATGTCGTCTGGGTGGCCTTGAGATAGTCTACCCGTGATAGTCTGAACATTCTCGCGAGCGCGTAGCTCAGAAACGAGAAGTGTCTAGGTCTTAAAGGGGGGGGGGGGGACTGTGAACTGCACTGAATGATCTTCGTGATTGCTATTTCAGCTCAAAACCCGATACCAATGTGCAACACACAAATTCAGTATATAAGCAGTTAAACCCCACTGCTTTGTGGTAACTTATTTCACATGCTTTCCAATCTAAATTAACAGATGACTCAAGTCTATGATACTCGAATAAATCAAATTTGCTGTTAAAATTTAAACAACCGTTAAGGGAGTAGCGGTTGGCCCGGACTCAAGTGATGATTTTTCCTAGGAAGTCGGACCAGATCGGGTTGGATCGAGAAATCAGGAAAAAGCGGATTACTGGGTGGATTGGATCTGAGCTACCCGGACTGGTCTGGACTGGATCCAGAACGTTCAATCCGTGAAGTGACCTCTCTAAACCTCTGCGACCGATGATTAAGAACATATACATGGAACATTTTGAGAATATGTCGATGGAAACCACATCACTCAAACCATGAGTGTTGCTGCGAAACATCGACATCTTCGTCCTCTGGCAAGGCCAATAAGACATGACCTTATTCCTCGACCAGTTCAACAGCCTGCGACTATCCATCCAGTTTACTACGGAACGTGTAGACAACAGCGACATACCTTCCTAGACTCACAAATCAAGAGAACTAGCAACAGGTTTAGGACATCGTTGTAGCGAAAAAAACAGCTATCTGTTGCTACCTGAACTTCCATTCGCAAAACC